AACTTGATCTCATGGACATATACTGAACACTCCACCCAACAGCAGCCAAGCATACTTTCTTTTCCAATGCACATGGAACATTCTCTAGAATAGACCACATATTAGGCCATAAAGCAAACCTTAACAGAATTCAAAGCATCAAAATATTACAAACCATCTTTCCTGACAATAAAGCCATAACAGTAGAAAGTAATAACAGAAAAAGGAAAAAAAATCAAACACATGAAAACTGAATAACATCTTGCTCAAAAACTAGTGGGTTATAAAAGAAATTAAGGATGGGATGAAGAAATTCATACAATCAAACGAGAATGAAAACACATTCTACCAGAACCTTTGGGACACAGCAAAAGCAGCGCTCAGAAGAGGAAACTGACAAATTTCTAGAAAGTCACTACCTACCTAAACTAACACAAACAGAGGTAAAACAACTAAATAAACCCACAACAAACGAAAAGATTGAAAAGGTAATTTAAAAACTCCCAATAAAGAAAAGCCCTGGCCCAGATGGCTTCACTGGAGAGTTCTACCAAACTTTCAGAGAAAAGTTACCACCACTACTACTAAAGGTATTTCAGCACAGAAAAGGATGGAATACTCCCAAATTCATTCTATGAAGTCAGCATAATCCTGATACCAAAACCAGGTAAAGACACCACAAAAAAAGAAAATTACAGACCAATATCCCTCATGAATATTGACGGAAAAATCCTCAACAAAATTCTAGCCAATAGAACTCAGCAACATATCCAAAAAATTATTCACCATGATCAAGTGGGATTTATACCAGGTATGCAGGGAGGAAAACAATCAATGTAATCCATCACATAAATAAAACAAAAGACAAGAACCACATGATCTTATCAATTGATGCAGAAAAGGCATTTGACAAACTCCAATACCCATTCATATAAAAACTCTCAGCAAAATAGGAATAGAAGGGAAATTGCTCAACATGATTAACAACATGATTAACAACAACTAACATCATCCTAAATGGAGACTGTTGGAAAGCATTCCCCTTGAGAACGGGAATCAGACAAGAATGCCCTTTGTCACCACTCTTATTCAACACTGTGCTGGAGTTCCTAGCCAGAGCAATTAGGCTAGAAAAAGAAATAAAGGGTATCCAAATTGGTAAAAAAGAAGTCAAAGTATCTCTATTTGCAGATGATATGATCTTATACACAGAAAACCCCAAAGAATACTCAAGAAAACTACTGGAACTAACAGAAGATTTCAGCAAAGTATCAGGATACAAGATAAACATACGAAAATCAGCTGGATTCCTCTGCACCAACAAAGAGAACTTCCAAGACAAAATCACTGAATCAATACCGTTTACAATAGCCCCCAAGAAGATCAAATACTTAGGAATCAATCTAACCAGAGATTTAAAAGACCTATATAATAAAAACTACAAGATACTACTATATTACCGCAAGAAACCAAAAGAGACCTATATAAGTGGAAAAACATACCTTGCTCATGGATAAGAAGACTCAACATTGTGAAAATGTCAATTCTACCGAAAGCGATCTACAGATACAATGCAATCCTGATCCAAATTCCAATGACATTTTTTAATGAGATGGAGAAACAAATCACCAACTTCATATGGAAAGGGAAGAGGCCCCGGAGAAGTAAAGCATTACTCAAGAAGAAGAACAAAGTGGGAGGCCTCACACTACCTGATTTTAGAACGTATTATACCACCACAGAAGTCAAAGCAGCCTGGTACTGGTACAACAACAGATACATAGACCTATGGAAGAGAACTGAGAATCCACACTTAAATTCATCCACCTATGAGCAGCTGATATTTGACAAAGGCCCAAAGTCTGTTAACTGGGGGAAAAGACAGTCTCTTTAACAAATGATGCTGGCATAACCAGATATCCATCTGCAAAAAAATGAAGCAAGACCTATACCTCATATCATGCACAAAAACTAACTAAAAGTGGATCAAAGACCTAAATACAAAATCAAAAACAATGAAGATCATGGAAGGAAAAATAGGGACAACGCGAGGAGCCCTAATAAATGGCATAAACAGAATACGAACCATAAGTGACAATGCACAAACACCAGAAGAGAAACTAGATAATTGGGAGCTCCTAAAAATCAAATACTTATGCTCATCATAAGACTTCACCAAAAGAATAAAAAGACAACCTATAGAGTGGGAAAATATTTTTGGCTACGACAAATCTGATCAGCATCTAATCTGTAAAATCTACAAGATAACTGCAAAACCTCAATAAAAAAGACCAATAACCCAATTAAAATACGGGCAAAGGACATGAACAGGCACTTCACCAAAGAAGACATTCAGGCGGCTAACAGACACGTGAAGAAACGCTCACGATCATCAGCCATTAGAGAAATGCAGATCAAAACTACAATGAGATACCACCTGACCCCAACAAGGCTAGCATTAATCCAAGAAACACAAAACAATAAATGCTGGAGAGGTTATGGAGAGACTGGAACACTTATACATTGTTGGTGGGAACGTAAAATGGTACAACCACTTTGGAAATCAATTTGGCACTTCCTTAAAAAGCTAGAAATTGAAGTCCCATATGATCCAGCAATCCCACTCCTTGGAATATATCCTAGAGAAATAAGAGCCATCACACAAATAGATATATGCACGCCCATGTTCACTGCAGCACTGTTCACGACAGCAAAAAGATGGAAACAACCTGGGTGCCCATCAGTGGATGAATGGATAAACAAATTATGGTATATGCACACAATGGAATACTATACAATGATAAAGAACAACCATGAATCATCTCATAACATGGAGGAATATGGAAGGCATTATGCTGAGTGAATTTAGTCAGTCACAAAAGGACAAATATTGTATAAGACCACTATTTTAAGAACTCAAGAAAAGGTTTAAACACAGAAGAAAACATTCTTTGATGGTTACGAGGGGGGGGAGGGAGGGAGAGGGGAATTCATTAGCTAGATAGTAGACAAGAACTATCTTAGGTAAAGGGAAGGACGACAGAGACTACAGAGGAAATTAGCACAACTGGACCAAACTGAAGCTAAGAAGTTTCTTGAATACAACCAAGCAGTGAGGAGTTGCCAGACCTGACCTGGGACAGAGTAGTAGGGGCAAGGGCCTGGGGACCATGGTTTCAGGGGACATCTAGGTCAACTGGCGTAACAAAGTTTATTAAGAAAATGTTCTGCATCCCACTTTGGTGAGTGGCATCTGGGTCTTACAAGGTAACAAGTAGCCATCTAACAGGCACCAACTGGTCCCAACCCAACTGGAGCAAAGGAGAATGAGGAACACCAAAGACACAAGAAAAGTATTAGCCCAAGAGACAGAAAGGGCCACATAAACCAGAGACTTCATCAGCCTGAGACCAGAAGAACTAGATGGTGCCTGGCTACCACTGATGACCACCCTGACAGGCAACACAACAGAGAATCCCTGATGGAGCAGGAGAAAAGTGGGGTGCAGAACTGAAATTCTAGTAAAAAGACCAGACTTACTGGTTTTATTGAGACTGGAGGGACCCCAGAAGACATGGCTCCTGGACTGTTAGCCCAAAACTAAAACCATTCCTGAGGCCAACTCTTCAGCCAAGGATCAGACTGAACTATGGGACATAAAATGATACTTGTGAAGAGTGTGCTTCTTAGCTCTAGTAGATACATGAGACTAAATGGGCAGCTCCTGTCCAGAGGTGAGATGAGAAGGCAGAGAGGGTCAGGAGCTGGTTGAACGGACATGGGAAATCCGGGGTGGAAAGGAGGAGTGTGCTGTCACAGTATAGGGAGAGCAACTAGGGTCATACAACACTGTATGTATAAATTTTTATATGAGAGACTAACTTGAATTGTAAACTTTCACTTAAAGCACAACAATAAAAAAAAAAAAGAGGAATAAAACAGACATATTCCCTCCCCCACTGAGCTCACAGACTCATAGGGGAGGCAGGTATTAAATAAGTAGCCAAATAAAAACAAAAATAGAAAAAAATAAAATATGAAAATTATGCAGCTATATGAAAAAATGCCTATATTATATTAAGCTAAACAAACAGGATGCAATATTGATTGCATATTATAAATAAAATGAAGTTTTAAAAACTGTCCATGAAAAAATATTGGGTAAAAATACACCAAAATGTTAGTTAGAATTTTTTGGCATTGCAAAGGATTTTCTATATTCTCCAGAAAAATATTCTGAATTGTATTATTAGACTGAAATTTTACACAGTATAGAGACTGAGAAGGGGATCTGGTGATTAGGCTGTGGTGAATTAAAAGAACAGTTTCAGTAGAGTAGTAGAGGTAAAAAACAGAGAAAACCAGGTTTAGGAGGGATTGGAAAGTGGAGATGGCAAGCTTAATTTTAGGTTCAAAATTTAGAGAACAAAGAAAGGAAACAAAAATCAGACCAAAACTTAAGAGGAAGCAGAGTAAAGAAAGATCTCCTTAAGATGGGGATAAGAGTTCCTCAACAGAGCAACCGAAGATACAAGAAAATAAAGCAGAATGATATATAGATTAAAAGCTCAAGCTCTGGAGTCAGCCAGATAAGGCCTGAATCCCAGCTTAGTTACTAAAGTCTCTGTATGGCTCTGTACAAGATTTTTAACCTTTCAGAATCTAATAGTAGCTACTTTTCAGGGTTATTGTAAAAAGTAAAAATACTAGTACTTATTCTTTGTAAAGAACCTTCCATTAGCATTAAAGAGGGAGCAAGAGGATAAAGAATCAAGGTCACAGAAAAGTCAGGGCAGAAGAGGCGAAGCATACAGATAGGAGAATAGTTCTTGGAAGCCAGAAAGATAGGTACAAGGGTTAAGAGTTCATGTTGTATTATATGACCTGTAGGATAGTGCCCTATCTCTATTCACGGTTATCCTATGCCATAGTTTTCTGACAAAAAACAGATCAACACTATTTTTAACATCTCAAATGGTATACATACTTGCAAAGGACAAAAAATTATGTAAGATATATACCAGTGCTTGGATGAAAGTTTTTATTATTAATTATTATACATAAGCCCATCTCAGGATAATCCATTTTGTAACTACTGTCCAAGGATATTTCAGAGTCCACTGATTTGCTTCCATGGAAGATCTTTCTGTTTAGAAATCAAACAATAGTTTACAAAATTAGAAATGACCAATGCTGCTATTCACATTAATAAAATTTTAAAAACTCATAAGAATAGCTAACATTTACTCAATATTAAGAGAACGTACTGAAGGTCTTTAAGTTTAAATTTCACAACAATCCATTTTACAGATGAGGGAATGACCCTCCATGAGGCGAAGTAATGTGCTGTGGGTTATGGAGATATTATCAGCACCAAGGTTGATAGCATCTGTTGGACTTCAGAGTTCAAGCTTTTAATCTCTGTATTTATGTTTTCCTCTAAATGTTGATAAACTTTTCATCAAATAAGTTTTATCCTTTAACTTTGTGAAGTATTTTATCGTTCAAGGTAAGAGTAAAATCTTGAAAATTACCCCAAAATTATAGGAAACCAACAAAATAAAAATATGATTCAATGCACAATATTTATCAAAATTCCTAAATTGTCCCTTAAATTCTGTGAGCTGAACAAATTAGTAATTTATTAATACACAAAAGCACTACTATAAACAACTGAAAATATTGCCTGGAGGTCATCTATCCAAAAACCAGGGGTCTGCAAATTTTTTCTTAAAGGGCAAGATGGTATGTTAGATTTACAGGCCATACAGTCTCTGCTGCTGCTATTCAACTCTGCTGGTGAAAATAGCCCTGAACAATATGTAAATGAATGGGTGTGGCTGTGTTCATAAAACCTGACAAAAACAGACCACAAGCCTGACCCCTGATCTAGACCAAGAATCAGGAAATAATAGGTCAAAAAACAACAACAAAAACTCAAACCTTTGCCGTCGAGTCAATTCCAACTCACAGTGACCCCATGTTTCAGAGTAAAACTGTGCTCCATAGGGTTTTCAATGGCTGCAGTCTTAACAGAAGTAGATCACCAGGCCCTTGTTCCATGGAATCACTGGGTGGATTTGTACCACCAACCTTTTGGTTAGTAGTCTAGTAGAAACCATTTGTGCCACCCAAAGACCCCTAGCTAATGAGTCACAGAACTATAACTACCGTTTCCCTCCTTAAGAGACAGGTACTCTACCAGCAGTGTGTGATAGCTAGACTGAGAGTGGACACGCCCGAGAGACCCAAAATGCTTGGGAATGTGAAGGTACCTAATCAGTGGACCATAACAGCCCTAAACCTGTTTTGGGCTCCCAAGCAATTTGCTATTTAAGTGATGTTTCTGTATGGTAATGAAAAGTAGGTAGGAAAATGTGTAAATCACTTTACAGAGGTTTCAAAAAAATATTTTAAAATGGAATTGCATTTCAAAGGCTTAATTTCTAGGATAATTCCTTTACCTATAACCCAGTTCCCTAAAGATGACATTTAAATTAAACACTGCCAAATCTTATTAGCAGCTTGTTAATAATATTGCTGTAATACTATCGTTCAGTACTAAAATTAATTTGTAATTCTTGGGTTAGCACAGAAGAATGTTGGGTCCCTGAAAGAAACTATTAGAATTAAAAGTATCACAAAAAATTCTAATCAATAATAATAGATGTGAATTAAGAATGTTTGAGTTTTAACTTTTTCCTTTCTCAACTTGCTAGTTACTGAAAGCATTTACAAGTACAGTACCTCAAAAAGAAAGATGAGAAAAACAAAAAGATAATTCGTAACTAGGCACTGAGAGCTGGCATTTCATTTTAGTCTTAAAGGTTATAAATTAACAGGAGGCCAATAAACCTCCCCCAAATACAAAACCTATCCTTCAGTAGAGCAATATAGGAAGGTACAGAAGCAACTGAACTTGAGGGTTTGGCCTTTCCTAGGGCATCCTTCTGGTTCCAAGACTGTGTTTCTGACTATAGGTCTGACACTGTGCTTAGTCTTTAGATGCCTCCTTTAATCCTCTTCACAATTCCATGAAAGTTTTGAAGATGAGATTCAGAGAAGTTAACTGTGTAAAGCCACACAGCTGTCTGAGGGAAGAAGTCAACTTAGTCTCTCTGGCTAGAAAGTCCATACACATTCTGCTTCCCCACTCCTCAAACTTTGCTATATTAAATATACTCATTTTCCTCTGATTATATAGGATTGCATTTAAATACTCACGTTTCCAAATTTTTAATGGATTTTGAATCCACTGAGTTTTCAGTGTTCTCCATGGATGCTTTTATTAACTAGAATATAAAGAAAATAGAAGTTAATCCAAATCAGCCATTATAAAACCACTGTACTATATTCACTATCCCAGTGATTATTCCTCCAAGTTAATACTTTATATGGGCATTTTTATATTAACGTTACCTCCCCTCTGCTCAAGCTTCACCTTTACTGCTAAAGGTTTCTATGAGTTGAACAATGTCCTTTCTTCCCTTTAACTGAGATATGAACAGTGAAGTACATAAAGTGCACAAATAAGTGTGCAGCTCAATGACTTTTTACATTTGTATACTTCCTCCCAGATTAAGATATAGATTACAGTTTATTTCTATTACAACAGATCAGGCCACTTGTAAGAAGAACTCAGCCCTCCAACTCAACACAGTACTTTGTTATTTTCAACTTGTTAAAAGAAAAAACAAAAAACTTCCCACCAAAATAGTATAACTCAACATAATACCACTGTATAATGCTTAGCTTCCCAAGAGATACAGCACCAGGAAGTTCCAACCTCCAATAATTTTTATTCTTAAACTAGGCTTTTGTTTTAGTCATCTAGTGCTGCTATAACAGAAATACCACAAGTGGATGTCTTTAACAAAGAGAAGTTTATTTTCTCACAGTAGAGTAGGCTAAAAGTCCAATTCAGGGTGTCAGCTCCAGGGGAAGGCTTTCTCTCTGTCAGTCTTCTCATCAATCTTCCCCCGGACTAGGAGCTTCTCCACTCAGGGACCCCAGGTCAAAAGGATGTGCTCTGCTCCTGGCACTGCTTTCTTGGTGGTGTGAGGTCCCCCTCTCTCTGCTTGCTTCTCTCTTTTGTACCTCAAGAGATTGCCTCAAGACACAATCCAATCTTGTAGATTGAGTCCTGTTTCACTAACACAAATGTTGCCCATCCTCCTTCATTAACATCATAGAGGCAGGATTTACAACATGTAGGAAAATCACACAATACCAGGAATCCTGGTCCAGGCAAATTGATACACATGTTTTTGGGGGGACATAATTCAATCTATGACAGCTTTGGAATCCCAACTTCTAATTCAGGGTGGTGAAATGGTTTACGAAACGTGGAAGTGTAAGCTAAAGTTTCTTCTTTCATTTTTCACCTCACACAGTGAACAAGTCCTTATAAGCAGCTACCACTTACCAAGCACTTATTATATACTAGGTACTATGTTAAGCATCTTTAATCTTCTGAACAATCCTGAAAGTCGGGAAACTCAACTCCTACAGAGTAATTTTTTCTATGACTCAAAGCTAAATGATGGAGATCCAGGGCTTTCCCCTCCCACTCTGCTCTGCTGCCTCTGAAGAAGCCAGCTCCTTACTATTTGTCTTCTAAAGTTCTACAGTGTCTTCTCTAAGCTTTCCAGAAGCAAAGGTACTTCCAATGGCAATATACATCCTTAGATAAAGAAGTAGGGGAAAAAAGCAAACGAAAACCTTTAATGACCTTCTTCAGCCTCTCGAAGCCCTGGTTATCTAAAAAATTTCAATAAAAAAATGACTTTAACCTAGCTCCTACAGTAAAATCAGAAAACCTAAAAGAATATACAACTCCACCAACAGGACTCAACCACAAAAGCCTTTGTAGAACGTCCTAGGCCTCATTTTTCAGTCTGCAGGAAAATGTAATATCTTCCCTTCCCAAAGCCAAGCTCTCTCCTCCCCTCCTTCCAGTCTTGCTTGCACTTGTGGTGGGGGAAGGTAGAAAAGAGAATACAGAAAGAGGATGTGTCATCATTTTAACCACAGAACAGGGGATGGTGTTTCATCTTCTTCCAAAGCCAGTCTATGTTTTGCAATTCTATGAAGGATCTTTGCTTTTCTACCATCTTACTTACTGTAGGCTTTCTAGAAAAGCAAGGGAAGTTGGTGAGTACAATTGGGGTGAACCATCCTTTAGTTAGTGATTTAGAAAATATCGGAATCCTTATTCTCTGTCCTTAAGCATAGATAATGCGACCCAGCTGGAGTTGAGCTCACAACGCCTCTCAAGGGCTCATCAACTGGGCTCTGAGGTATAAAGACAATAGCTAAGGTAATCTTGGAAAATATCTTTTAGGGAAACTTTCACACAAACTATTCAAACAGAACACAAGACTTTCCACTCCTATCTTCTTCTATTAGCATTTAGTGACTACAAAATTTGTTGGACCAATGAAGACTCTCCTGACTGAAACCTGTACCAATGATTGTTAAAAAAGACTACTCAAAATGTAGGATCACAGTTTCTAGCCAGCCTGTGAAAAGGTGAAGCTTTCAAAGGTGTTACCCATTTGTAATGTTCACATATACTGATGACTCTGTAATGTTCCTTGGACTGGGGCAGACATGGCTGTGGCAGCGTGCTTGTCCGTTTTCCCACTTTTGCTTATTCTGCAATGTTCTCTGGACTTGGACAGACATGACTCTAGCAGCATGCTTGTCCGTTTTCCCATTCCTGCCTATTCTGTGGACTCAGGAAGACATAGCTGCGGCAGCATGTCTGTCCGTTTTCCCGTTCTTGCTTATTCTGTAGTTTCCTTAGACTTGGGCAGACATGGCTGTGGCAGCGTGCTTGTCTGTTTTCCCATTTTTGTCTATTCTGTAATATTTCCTTGGGTTTGGGCAGACATTAGCTCTGGCAGCATGGTTGTGTTTCTCACTTTTGCCTTTTTGAACATATGCCAAATAAAACTTGCTTTTTGCTTTACTAAACTTTGTGATGTTTTTACACTACAACATTAGTCAGTAAGCAAATATTTAGTGAGCACATGCTTTGTGCCAGGTAATGTTCTAGGCATTAGGACAGAATGGAAGATAAGACAAAGTTCCTATTTTCAAGGAACTTTCATTCTAGAAGAAAGAGTAACTATAGGTACTATAAGACTGCAGATACCAACAAGGGTTATGAAGAAAATAAAACAGAGTAATGTAATACAGAGATCGGGGCTGTGAGCTACTTTAGCTAAGGTGGCCACAGAAGTCATCTCTGAGGAGACATCTGTGTTGAGATCTAAATGATGAGAAGGAGCCTGCCTGCCAACAGATGTGGTGTGGAAAGCACCAGCAAGCAAAAAGCACCTGAAAGATATTGGTGTATTCATGGGGCAAAAAGACGAGTGTATTAGTGCACAGTAAAGGAAGGGAAGGAGGGAATACAGATTAAGTAGGAAAGACAAGATCACATAGGGCCTTATGAGCCAGGAGGAACTTTGATTCTATCCTAATTGCAATGAGAAAACATTGAAGGGTTTTAAGCAAAGGAGGGACAGTGTGCTTTAAAAAGATCACTCTGGCTGCTGAGTAGAGAATGAACTGCAGAAGTTCAGAGTGAAAACACATAGGCTAACAAGAAACCTTCTGTTAATAGTCCAGGCAAAAGATGCTAGTAGCTTGGACTACACAGTTGATTAGTAGATACCAAAAACCAAACCTGTTGCCGTCGAGTCAATTCTGACTCACAGCAACCCTATAGGACAGAACAGAACTGCCCCGAAGGCTTCCAAGAAACGGCTGGTGGATTCGAACTGCCAGCATTTTGGTTAGCAGCCAAGCTCTTAACCACCGTGCAACCAGGGCTCCAATTAGTAGATATAGGTAGTTAAGTGTCTGGAACTCAGGGTAGAGATTAGGGCTGGAGATATATTGGGGCATTCTGATATTTAGAGGTTTACTAGAGGAAGTGGAGGCAGTAAAGTAGACTAAAGAGAAGAGAGTGAAGGAGTGGAAAACCAGATGAATGTGACGTACCGAAGTATGTCTTTCAAGGAGAGAGTGTTCAACCTTTTCAAATCTTGCTAAGAGGTCAATTCAGATGAGTACAGAGAATTGAACACTGGCTCTGGCAAGGTGATTGGTGCAGTGGGGGGCTGTCAGGAACAAATGGCCTTAATACTCAAAATAAATTATTGAGTATTCTTTCAGTGGGGTGCTGGGCATTATCTAGAGGACTCTAAGGGATTATCTGATTCTATATGGCGTGCCCTTTGACCTTCTACTGACTGGGTAGAAGTTAAACCTTAGCAAATGGATAGTTACACAAATGATTCTTGTCCACAGCAATAAAATGAATTTTGTCTTCTAATGACAAAACTGATTTCCACCCTATAGAAAAGATGCTGTTGTTGTGTACTACTGAGTTGATTATGTCTTATAACGGCCCTATGTGATGGAGAGGAACTGCCCCAGAGGGTTTTCTAGGTTGTAATCTTTATGGAAGCAAGTTGACAGGTCTTTCACTCACTGAGCCACTGGGTGGGTTCCAACTGCTTACGTTCTGGTCAGCAGTCAAGCATTTAACTGTTGAGCCACCAGGACTCCTTACAGAAAAGATGACCTTCCCAATTATATTTCATTGCCTGTTAGGATATTAACCAGTTTTGCATCTATTAGCAAATTCATTCATTATACCCACTGTCTACATGTATGCCTGTTCTTCAAATTCTGTTGGATTGGCCTTAACATCTTACTGGTTCCCTTATTAACTGAATAACATATTTGACATGTGTTCATTTTATATTTGCATGAGAGTAACGCTTTTAACTTTTTGAAAATTATACTTTAGAAGAACCAATGTTGTTGGCCCAGCTGAGAAGAGGATAAAAGTACAAAAATTTGAGTAGACACAATTCTTCCCAGTGTTCCTGTGAAGAGGAAAGGAGAATGGGGTAATAGTTGGAGGGGGACAAGAGGTCGAGGAGGTTTCTTGTTTTGTTTAAAGAAGGGCCATATTAAGGCATGTTTTTATGCTGATGAGAATGATCCAGTGGAAAGGGAATAATTCTAAGAGTGAAGTTCTTAAAGAATGAAAGGGTTTGGAAATCCAGCTTATATATGGAAAGGTATTAGTCTCAGATAAACGGGACAATTCGTTCATTGTACGGTAAGGAAGACAAGCATTTTGGCACAACACAGGAAAGTGTTATGAATCTGATGGAAGGATGAGGTACTTCTCATATTATTGCACCTATTTTCCCTATATTTAGAAGATAAACTACAAGACAAGAATCCCAAAATATTCTCTATCTAC